TGGGACCAAGCGAAACAGTCTATGTTGTTAACAAGGAATTGAATGAGTTTTTTCCTAAGTTCGGGGGTTAATCCCGTTCCCAGGTATACCTTCCGATCCGGGAGATGCTCAATCAAAATAGCTTATTCAAGTTCTTCAATTGTCGATTTCGTTGCATCTGACTCTTCGGGGGCAACAAAAGTTCGAGGAGCGAGGAAATCTTCTTCATCGTTCTCGGGGGTTTGTATGCTCCTAGACTCATCCGAGGTGGAGTGTATGGGGCTCGGTGCCTTCTGGTGAACTGCGAACATTTCCTTTGCCGTATGTTGTTCTCCATATATGGTTGTTATGCCATCTTTTCTCAAAAATTTTATCATCAGGTGCAGAGTTGACTGCACCGCCCTTATGTTGTGTATCCACGGCCTGCCAAGCAATGCATTGTACCTCATGTCACCAATGATGAGGTGCAACTTGGTATTCTGAATTGTACCAGACAAGTCAACCGAGAGGACAATTTCTCCTTTCGTTACTTCATCGGCCATGTTGAAGTCGTGGAGGACCCGGGAGGTGGGTAAGATCTGATCGAGAAACCCAAGCTATTCTACTACCTTTGACCTGATTACGTTGGCCGAGCTGCCTGGATCCACGAGCACACATTTAATTTGAACGTCGCTTGAAAGAAATGAAATTACCAGCGCATCGTTTTATGGTTCTGCCAAGGTCTCGAGATCCTCCTCGTTAAATGCGAGGGTGTCTTCGGTCATGCGTTCTCGGATCGGCCCCTCGATTTCAGCGGATATTTTTATTCGGTTGGTTATGTGTCCTTGGGGGATGTCGGCCCCCTAGATATTCATATGAACGACATGCCAGGGAATCTCTCTTTCTGCCCAGGTTGGATATTTCCAAATCTCCCGTTGAATTTCTCGACATGCTCCTTGGTTATTGTGAGGACCGGCGTTAACGCCTTGGGCGCCGCACGAGGTTGTACCCTTGGGAATCGGCTTCGGTGAGTTTTCATGGTTTCGTAGTGGCACGCCCATACCTAGAATAACCGTACCACCCTTCCCATAGTTTTTGAGGCTGCTGTTTTCGGGCACACTTACTGGTTTAGGCATTTTGACCTGAAATCAAAGATCTTGGACAAGAAAAAATGTGAAAGATAACTTGCATTGTGTAGTAAAACCAGCAAGAAAATAATCACTATTATTTTTATTCCCAAGGTGGGCGCCAAACTGTTTACCGTGAAAATGGTAAAATGTTAGGCAGTTGATGATATGTGAAAGACTAAGAAACGAGATAAGAGCTTAAAACTGAGATGTTAACCAAACTGAATCGCTGTCAATCGGGGCCTCGATCTTGCCTATTCGAGGGCCTCGGGGTCGAGTCTGAAGCTCAACTTGGAGCTATCGAGGGTGGTCGATGGAGACTAACAATTATAAATAAATTAATGACGGCTTTTTATGGCCAATAATAAGCAATAAATGATGAACTTTAAGTAGAACACAATAAATATGAGCAATAAATGATGAACTTTAAGTAGAACACAATAAATATGAGCAATAAATGATGAACTTTAAGTAGAACACAATAAATATGAGCAATAAATGATGAACTTTAAGTAGAACACAATAAATATGAGCAATAAATGAAGTAATAAGACCAAGAGAATATGTTAGAGAGCAGAGAAAATGTTCAAGTATATTAAGTATGGAGCAACAGATGTTTCCAAAATTTCAAGAATCCCCTTTATATATGAGGGGAAATCCCAACATAGTACAAGTACATTTATTGCAAAGATATGGAGATGGGATAGCTAGTTGACGCCATGATTTGGGTCTAAACTCAGCTCACTAGACTTTGTCACCCCTAGTTGTGCGCCTTGGGAACTCCCCACTTTTCCATCATAGTCGTTGGTCCGCATTGCCCCGAGGTAGAGCACCGATAGCCCTCAAGGATGAACCTCGAACTTAGTCTCAAACCTTGTGAAATGTGCTTACGAGACATCATAATGACGGAAAATTGGACACTCCGATTTTACCGTATACAATGTTGAATTCGTTTAGCACTCAGGCTGCAAGCAGGATTTGGTTTTGTAGGCCGGGTTGTTCTACGACCCTCGATCGAATGTTGTCTGAGCTACCTGGATCAATTAACACACGTTTAACTCGAGATTTATTCATGAGTACAGATATTACAGTGCATCGTTATGGGGCTGTACAATTCCTTCTATGTCCTCATCGCTGAAAGACAAAGTTCCTTCTAGTATGTAATCTCGAGTCCGTTTCTCTCTTGTGATGGATACTTTGGTGCACTTTAACATCGGACATTGAGGAACATCGACCCCTCCGATGATCATGTAGATGACGTGCTGAGGTTCTTCTTGCTCGGTTTTGTTTATTAAAGTCCCTATTTCTGAAATGGTTCTTGGCTCGGTCACTCAAGAATTCTTGAAGATGCTTGTTGTTGAATAACCTGACTACCTACTCCTTTAACTATCGGCAATCCTCTGCTCTATGGCCGTGAGTGCCATGATATTTGCACATTTGGTTTGGATCCCTTTTTGATGGGTCGGATTGTAGAGGTCGAGGCCATTTGGTATCTTTGATACGTCTAATAGCCGATACGATGGTGGTAGCATCAATGTTAAAGTTATATGATGATAATCTCGGTGCTTCTTTAGGTCTGATAGGCCAGTCGAAACCATTCTTGCTCCTGAATCCTCGATTGCTCTGGCCTCACTCATTTCTTCTTTCATTTAACATAGAACATGGTCCGGACCCAATGTTTCTCTATGCACATCAGCCCAGGTAATGGCATGATATTCTATCAGATTCTGCTTCAACTGCTGTGAATCTACCAAAAATCGAACATTGAGCCCTTGGATAAAAGCTTGGATAGCCCAATCATCAGCGACTGGTGGCAGGTCCATCCATTTCATTTAAAACCAAGAAACGAACTCTCTGAGCATTTTATTATCCCTTTTCCCTTTTTTGAAGAGATCTGACTTCCTGGTTTCGACCTTGATAGCCCCAGCGTGTGCTTTCACAAAAGAGTCTGCAAGCATAGTAAATGAGTCAATATAATTAGGGGGTAAGTTGTGATACCATATCATAGCTCCTTTTGACAAGGTTTCTGCAAATTTCTTCAGCAAGACAGACTCGATCTCATCATCCTCCAAGTCATTTCCTTTGATGGCGCATATGTATGAAGTGGCATGCTCATTTGGGTCACTCATTCCATTGTACTTAGGAATCTCGAGCATACAGAATTTTTTAAGGATCGACTTTGGAGCCGCACCCAAAGGGAAAGGGTTCTGTACAAACTTCTCTGAATCCAAGCCTTTCAGTATTATCGGCGGTGCTCCCGGGATCTTATCGACCCTGGAATTGTAGGTTTCCACCATTTTGTTGTTTGCTTCGATTTTCTTCTCCCCTGATTCTACTCGTTTTGTTAGATCCTCGAGCATTTTTATGATCTCGGGGTTATTACCCGGCTCGTTCCCACTCGACCTTTCCATGGCCGGATCCTCCCTACGAGCAATCTCTCAAGACGGTTCGGGCTCGATCTTGCTCGGTACGCAGCTCTGGTTTTTTAACTGAGCTATCACCGCTTGTTAAGCCTGTAACATTTTGAAGATCATTCGTAGATTGACCCTGTCTCCTACATTGTTTTGAGTTTTCTATGTTGTCGATCGGGCTCCACCACAGATGCTATTCTCGGGGTCAGTAGGGAGGCTTGTGTCGATAGCCACATGCGAATTAGTGTCCAACGGGTGCGCAATTGGAATTCCGATGGAATCAATAGGCGGTACCTCATTACCAGGCGCTATATTTTTGTTTTCACCGTGGTGACCAGACTCATCGTCAGTAGGTAGAGGTGCTAATTGTGAGTTTGACATTTTGAGCTTAAACTTGAAATCAGAGACACTTCAAAGAATAAGTGTAAAATAGTGTGTGTTATGAAAATTCGTATCAAATAGCCACTATTATCCTTAGCCCCACGATACGTGCCAAACTATTTACCCTAAAAATCAGATAAGAATTGAATTTATACGCTATTTTAAAGATACATGATCTAACTTGATATAAATTGAGAAATCAGATTAATATTGATATTAATGATAGAAAAGTAAATGCAAAACCACACAAGTTAAACAATCTTGGCCTTGAAGGTTGGTCATCCTTGAGTCAAAAATGCCTTAATCGATATCGGAACAGAATGATGCGATAATGAGAACTATATAATAGTATATTGCTTTAGGATGCATGTTATAATGTGTGCAATGAATTATCGTACACCTCTTTACATAGTAGAGGGGTCCTATTCTAGATACATTTCTATAAAAGGAAAAAAAATCTTTTGATTTGCTAATTGCTGGTTCCTTGCCGATATGCGCCGAGATTCCTGCCGTAATATTTTCCCGGTCGCGGATATTTCGGTCTTTCATTTTTTATTTCCGAGCTTGCTTGAGGCTAAGATCGACACCGAACTCTACGTTCCTCGAAGGCAGGTCTTCCGACCTCAGGTTCTAGCTCAGTGAGACTCGAGGTCAATTTCCAGTCTGTGGTCGCCACGTTCTAAGTCAAATCTACCAAGTTGAAGTCGAGTTCGACTTCGACCGTATACAATTATTATTATTGTTACTATTTTTTTTTTTAATCAAACAAGCTAGTCTTTTGAAAGCTGCATTTGGTTACTTTACGAATGTACATAGAATGGGACATGTAGGATCCATGCCTAATCCCCATCAACACTGATGGCTTTTGATATATGTTTTAAAAAATAACCAACCATATTTGGAATATTAATTAGAAGGACGGGGTAGGCAAATTTTACATAAATGCAACTTTTATTCCTTCATTTCATTAACTTTGTCCGACTTTTTAATTATCCTTTTACAGATTTTAAAGAAAGCTGTGAAATAACAAAGCCAACTTTGCCAATATGGTTAGATATATATACCCAGCAATGGCAAGAACGTAACTTCATACTCAGCGAAAGAAACGGTAATTGGAATCTAAATAAAAGTTAATGTTTCATTCACTGAATGCTGGAACAGTACTTCTACACAGCTCAGCAGAGCATTTAGCACAAGACTACTTTAAAAATTCACAAGCAATCTCTAGCACATGGATATGGGTCTATGTATTAATGGAAAACTGCTCTATCAAAGTACCAATCTGCAACAGCTTCCGCAATTGTCTACACAGATAAAATGTTAAAACAAAATCTGTTATTAACTCGTAAATTAAGATTGCGAATGATAGACACATGATAAATGAAAAAACAAAAAAAGCACATGTATTCAAACACTATAAAAGAAAGATTACCTTATTAAGTACTCTTGGAGAGGTAGCACTGTACCAGTAACTCGGCCATATAATTTGAGAATGAGCGGGAGAAGATGTGATGAAGTAACCCCTCGTATAAGAAGGGGTGAGTCCCTCAAATGCCTTCAAGAACTCCACTCCAAAAACTATTATATTAAAAGAAGAAAACAGGTGAAACAGATCATTAATTAGAATTTATACTTGTGTGATCTGAAAGGTATTAGTTGATCACCAGAAATGGGCTAACGTTGAATAATTATACACTGGCTAAACGTGCAATTACTTATTAGAGCCTTGCAATGATCCCAGGTATGTTGCGGATCGAGGTATGCAGGAACCAAAGTATTATTAATCTGGATGAAATTATCTTTTTAGATTTTGTAGAAACTTAAAAAAAAAAAAAGCAGCAAATTAACAAAATTCTTAAAACGAAGAGAATTAGCATTTATTTGTTTCCCTGACCTGCCAAGCGTCATAGTGTGAATTAATAATAAAAAATGGAGTCTGAACATATGGAATAACATGCTGCGGAAAAAAGCACTGTACCATTATTTAAGGAAAAAACGAGATTGTTAGTGGGCAATACTTATATAGCAGGCAGAAAAGAATTTTATTTCGAAAAAGCTTATAAAAACTCTTACCAGACTTGGTTCCATTGCAGAGGCGCAAGATGGAGGCAAATTCTTAGCCGATCCCTTGAATGAGAGGAAAAATTTGTTATATAAAAAGATTCTAACTTGAACATACTTGTTACGCATATATACCTATTTATAACCCAAAAAGAAAGGATGAGATGGGACTCACATGTAAAGTTACAACTTTCTGATACATCTCTTGAATGTCTGAAGTACCAAAGATTGTCTTCCTGCATAAAATAATCCTAACACGCTTGAGTACCAAATAGCATCCGCACTTAAATTAATGAGACGAGGAAGAAGAGCTCACGCATTGATGAAGAAGCCTGCGTTTGCAACGCACTTTACTTTGACATCATCGGGAAAGAAGGACTTGAACTTGTCGCAGTTCAAGATTGTAGCCAACCCTCCTGCCGAAGATCCAGTCAGGATTGCCTAACATTGCGTTTTTATTTTGCGTTACTGAAAAGTATAATAATGCAGTAGGTGAAACTGTAATTTATGATCTCACATTTTTAGCATTTTGCATTCCTTTGTTCCACAAATCTTCCTTAACTGCTTTGAATATTCTCGCCCCTCTGTAGAAAAGCTTCTTCTCCTATTATATATTTGACATTTGCAATCAGAAAGAAATGTTACAGGATATACGACCGATATAAATCAGTGCACTGTGCCATTCTGAAAACTTGTTCTTCTTAAGAAAGGAGCTTGTAGCCTAGCTAGAGGGAGAAAGCAAGTAGATATTGTAGAAGTAGAGTTGAATCAAAATGGCTTCACTTCACCTCTATTTATACTCAAAGTGCACTGCGCTTGAGGCCTCTAGGAGGAAAGTCTATTTCAACAAAAAGTTTAAGGAGATGTTTAATTTGTGCTTGAAGACGTCTCATGTCATGGGTGCAGTATAATTGAAATATGTGAAAATGAAAGGATCCATTTATTAATCGAGACCAAACAATTTTAGAATACCTATTACGAAGAGAAAGGCTGACAAAATTCCATTTTGATTAGATATGGGTTGTGACTGAGCACTATGTATTCCTTCTGAGGAAATTTGTGTTGTTGTATTTTCATCAATATAATGCTCTTTGGAAGAATGCCAGACAAGGTGATAGAGAGAGCTTTAAAATTAAATAGATTATACTTTGTTTTTAACATGTTTATTTTGAATTCCACACCAAGTAGAGAGTCCCCATATATATATAACGCCCGTTTCTTTGGTATGTTCTTTTATTCCATTATGCTTAAATCATGTTGTTTCGCAAGAACTAATAGGTGGTGTAGGTAATCTTTCTATATTATGGAATTGGATAATGCTTTGCGCATTGACTCTTTTACATACAGACGTAAATTTTTTTCTGTTCACAATAAATCATTATATATACAGAATTTTTCTTGAAATTATCATTTAAAGCATTCTATTTATATATCAGGGATCGTTAAGGAGCTTCGGGTCGTGCTGTGTGCTATCTAACAGGGATAAAATTGAATTTTTACCTTCTTTTGTGTTTATTTTGATTGGACCACTGTGTATTACTATTGTAGCCCTTTTTTATTTTTAGTTGTGAAGACCAATTTGCCCATCTTTGATATCTAATTAACGTGCCACTTTGCCTGCCAAATTATCTCATTACTGTGGCCCCACAAGAATGAGGTATCTACTCATTGAAGTTTCAGTTTGGAGAAATTACTGTGGCCCCACAGAAGTTTTACTGTGACCCGCCCTTTTTTATCTTTAGATTGTTGATAGGCTCTCTTCCTTCCAATATAATATAAGTAATATAATTAATGATATTAACAAAAGGGTGAATAATATTACACAAATAAAATACTTAATATAATAACTTTAAATAGTGATAATTTGAACATTACGACTTGCGAACCTAATGGTTAAAATAAGTAACTTTTGTGTATCCGCTCATAATTGCAACAAAAAAATAGTACATTTTTCATTAAAATTCATTATAATGTTCTAAAATAACATATGAATAGAAAAATATATATGTTTCGAAGTTTGAAATTATAATATATAGAAGTCCCTATTCATCCTTAGTGTTCATTTCATTATTAGTTAGTTCCCAATATAACATCGGCAGAAACACCATGATACCACTCAGGCCTCAGCTTGATTTAAACATCCATGTGTATATATTTGTGGTTATGGAATTCAACAATTTTAAAGGGAAAAACAAAAGTCTTTTTGAGAGTTCCAATTGATTATAAGGTTGAATAGTTACGTTCTTCTAAATGTCTAACTGTCTATACAAGAATAAAGTGGTGCATACACCAAATTGAGATGCTAAACAAAACCCATTAATTTTATGATATTTTTCAACTGTCGCCAAGATTATAATTTAAATTCAAAAGGAGAGATATGCTCACTTAGACAATGAAACTAAATTCTACATACTAGGTTAGTATATTCAAGAAGGCATACCAATAATTTTTCATTTAGGAAATAAAAAATTCTAAATGGCATACATGATTATTGATTAGACGATTGCAATAACTTCAAAGGACACATAAATTTTTTATCAAATGAATCAAATTAACTCGGTACATGCTTAAACATACTGTTTTTCTCTTGAATGTCATTTAGAATAGCTAGATATAAAAGTAAATACTCTTTCGGTCAATACTTCCATTGTCAAATTTTACTAAGTTAGTTTAGGTACTTTTTTTTTAGCAAAGTCTCCATCTTGCACTTGGAAAATTTAAGTACTATTAATTAAATTACTCATATGAGTAATTTGATTTATTCCGGTCATTATTTTATTATTACTATCATTAAATCGTATGATTGATTACCTTTTTTATTTTAAAAATGCAATGTAGTTATTATATAGGCAAGTTCATAACATAGATATTAAAAAAATGAGAAAAAATATAATAATATTAAGAAAAATTTAAAAGAAATATAAAAATTGATTATATAGAGATTAACAATAGGTATTTAAAAAATTAATTAAAAAATGAGGGGGAGAATAACAATTGCTCAATGTTGAGGGGGGAATTTGAATTTTAAAACAGAGTTAGCAGGATGTAAATTATTTTCACCCAGAAAGAAACGAAGACTTTTGAAATTTATGGTCTAAAACAACCCTAAGCTATTTTGTGGTTATAAATCATCTCATTAAGAGTAAAAGAGAAATTCTATAATTTAATTATTTTAAATATAAAAAGGCATCTTTTTTTGGGGCTATATTAGATTGCATGAAAGTTTAAACTCTTATAAATTGAGAATTGCATTAAATTATTTTGAAGGAAAATAACTTTTTTCCTTAGGATTTAGTTCAAATACTTTTTGTAGAACTTAAATTGTCTTTTTTTTTTCTTATACTTAATCTCTACAATCGTATTTAATTTGTTATGCAGTAAGAATAAATTCAGTTGCCTTTACTATGGTAAACTTGAAAAACAAGGGCGTAGAATTTTCTAGAAGACACTATATGATGGCAACTTCGTACTATGTTGATAAAACATATCTTTATTACATGGCTAATATAAAAACATATGCTATAAGTAATTACTTCAAATAAATTAAATACACCAAATTCGGGTTTTGAATATGTCACACATTACACTGGAGTTGGAAATAATTAAGACTAATAATGAATGAGATGAGTCGCTATGTGACTCACTCTTAGCTCAATATTCATCACCGACAAAGACTGATTTTCACCTTTTGCATTTGGGATTTCAGTTGGGTTAGTAACAACTATGAGTAGATTCAGAAATTCGTTTACCTTCATGTGATATTTGCACCAGATTAATGTTGTTGCTTAATTTCAAGTGTAAAGTTATTTTTTTTTTGGAAAAAGATCTGCAGTTTGCCAAACAGAGAATGTAACGTCTTTACTCTTAAAAGCTATCTTCATTTCTTAATGTCTATTTATAGAACGCAACTTAGAGATGCAAACAGTAGTAGAAGAGAATTAAACAAACTATAACACATTACGTTTAATCTAAATTACTATGAAAAAGAGTTCAACAAATATTTTTAGAAGGAAGTTGGTTATACTTAATTATTAAAATATATCTTTTGTTAGTTCTAATTCGTTTATCAGATCATGTCGCTAACTCCATAATCCTACTCAAAAAATTAAAAGAAAAAACAAGTGAATTCTTAAAAGAACCACCAAAGATGCTACCATTTTTTTAACAACAATAATGGCCACAAGGCTAAGAACATTTTTTGCACTGCATATAATAGATCATTTACGATAAAAGACGGGAAAAAAAATATTTTTTGGATAAATTTTTAAAGGTGTACACTGACTAATTTGTCTATTACAAGAAAACTGGACAAATATACGAGCAGACAATATTTAATATAATGCATGGTACAAGTCTTAGCGCATAAATTTTGAAAAGTAAATAACATAGAGGACTGTCAATCTAAACTAAAAATGTTCGCCTCATTCTATTTGGTGATTGGTGAATATAGCCAACTATGTCATCCTTTTAAAACGCTTAGAAAGTTTCTGAATAGTATCAATATAGTGTTACACTAAGAATCGTCCAAAAAAAAATTTAAGCCAAGGTATACATTTACACATTATTGCTCACAGTTGTTGTGCCCGCACTAGTATCACATATTCTGTAGATGTAATTGTTCATTTCACAATAAATGAATGCCTAAAAAGCATATAGCACATGTCATGTAGGTCTTCTAATCATCTTTTAATGGAAAGGTCATAAATTATTATTCAAGAAGTGAAATATTCTTGAATGATGATGTGAAGAGGGCTGATCAATGCCATACTATACGAGTTCCTTTTAAAGAATTTTTTGATAGAAACAAAGATATATGTGTGTTGCAATGAAATTCTATGTTTCGAGGCCTTAAAAATCTTCCTTACCATCACCTCAATTTGCATGCGCAGTCCGGGCGCATAGCCGGAAAACATAAATGTGAAAATTTGTGAAAAATGATAAGTTTTGACTGTAAAATGAATAAATTTGACTTCGGTCAACGTTTTGGGTAAACGGACCCGGACCCGTGATTTGACGGTCCCAAAGGAATTTGAAATGAATTTTGCTTAGAACATGATGGTATCGGGCCCGTATTTTGGTTCCGGCACGCGGTACAGGTCTTATATATGATTTAAGACGTTTATGTGGAATTTGGCGAAAAACGGATGTCATTTGACGTGATTCAGACTTAAATTGCAAAAAAAATATTGATTGATGTTTTGAGAAGTTTGAGAAAATTCTTTGATTTTGAGGTTTAATTCATTGTTATTGAGGTTATTTGGGCGATTTGATTACACGAATAAGTCCGTAGGATGTTTTTGAGGTTGTGTGTGCACTTGGTTTGGAGTTCCGAGGGCTCGGGTGAGTTTCGGGTAGGTTCCGGGATGTCTTAGGCTTAAAAATATGGATGTTGCAGGTTCAGAGAAGTGCAAACCTCTGAACCCGCAGTGCTGACCGCAGTAGTTTTTGTGATGTCCGCACTGGTGACTGTGCGGCCGCAGTTGATTTTGTGCGGTCCGCACAGATTCACTGATCCGACTTCGGAAGCTCATATCTTTTTATCTACAAGGAATGTGAGGATGATTCATAAACAAAAGTTGTATTCTTTGAATCTAGTTTTCAGAAACATATTATAATATGCATTTGGACATCTGTAGAGAAAGTTATGGCTAAAATACTAAGACTTGTTACTACAAAATACAAGTAGTGCTGTGCGGCCGCAGTTATTTTTGTGTGGTCCGCACAGGGCATATGAGAATAGTATATTTAGACAAAATTTTCAGTTATTTTTTATTTTTCAAAACCCCAAAAACATAAGAGGCAATTTTTCAAACAACCTTTCTTCTCAAAAACGTTGGTAAGTGATTTCTAACTCATTTTCTTCACTCCTTAACATCT